TTGTAGTTTAATATTTATTTATGACAGTTTAAGCGGAGTAATTTCAGGGATATGCAAAACAAATTTAAAAAGTATTTCAAAATGTAAAATTATAATTTCTAATAATAACATTTTAATTCAACTTTTTAAATATTTTGTTAAAAAATAATTGTCAGTTTGATTAAACCATAACTTATGGGACAACTATTCTTCTTATTAATAATAAAAGCAATGGTAGGGGCAATAACTAAAATATTATTTTATTTATTCAAAAAAATGCTAAATCTAAGTTGAAATAGTGTTCTCGATATTAAATTCAAAATGTTGTTATAGGAATGTGCTTTTATTATTATATGAATTACTTTTTAAACAAAAATTTTTGCTAAGAAAATATTCGTGAGTTCGAAAAAAATTCCGGAAATAATTTAGATACTAGTGGTATTATAAGTGAAAATTAAATTTAGTATCGGTTTACTCTATTAAAAATTTAGTAGCATTTCGTATACACGGTGAATGAAAAACTTGGTAGATTCAGTCTGCTATTATTAACACAATTTTATTAAACAACCTCAAGTCATTTTTAAGTAATTATAGATCATAAAACATTTGTATGATTCAAAAGGCAGTGTTGTTCCTAGTTGTACAATTGTACAAAAAGTTGTACAACCAGTTATGCGGTTGTACACATTTTTGAAAAAAGATAGAAATGTTGTACAATTTGAATTGCTAAATATTTATGTAAATCGGGTATATAAAAGCTTTTCTTCGCTCAAAAAGTATACGATTCGTTAAATAGCATGCATTAAAATTAATAAAAAAAATAACAGTTTAAATTTGGCGCCATTCGCGACCAATCAGTACACCGTTTTACATCGAAAATATATTTTAAACTGGAAAAAAGAAGAAATTTAAGCATGGGGAAATAGTAGGCCATAGTCTGTCAATAAAAAAAGAAGAAGAATAATTAGTGTTTGTACAATCGAACAAAAAAAGTGTACAATTTTGACACTGAAAGTTGTACAATTCAAAAATCCCTAGGAACAACACTGACAAAAGGTGTCTAGCTAATACAGTGTGAAAGTTATATCAAATTGTTATGAGATCTGAGTCATAAAACTTGGTATTAAAGAATAGACTTTTTCTTGCCAGGTAGAGTTTGTACACATTTTGCAACTATTTTATGGTTTCTTGGTATTATGCTGAACATCGAGGAAATATTCTGTATCCTGCAATATTTTAATAATATACAGAGTGTTTATTAGTGAATGAATCAAACAAACTAAGATGGTAGAGGTTATTTTCAAGCAGAATAATCATATACAGGGTGTTAATATATTCGACCGACAAGGCTCTACCCCAAAAAGCTACTGAGATACAGAGTGATTAACATTTTAAATTAAAATTCAAAATTTTCCATAAACCAACAACGCCTTTTAACATTTTTTTTAAATTTGATCACCAATATGCTATTTAACACGTTGACGGACACATGTGAACAGGTGGAGATGCTTTGTGTGACACTATTGCAACTTCACTAAATTTTGCAATATTATAGTAACACTTATATATGTTATTTGTCTTCTAAAAAAGCTGAATAATATAAAAAAAAACAATAACGGCTATAGACGTCACTGTTACATACTAGACATTTTTCTATACTATTTGTAACGTAGACGTCCATAGACGTCGGTATAAATAAAACACTAGAATTACGCAAATATATTTTTTATTTGAAAATCCTAAATGAAAATGAAAAATAATAATGAAACGAAATAATAATCGTTTTGGTGCATAAAAAATGTATATATGTTTTATAAAATGCATATATGTATAAGTAAACAAAGTATCTCGTTTCCCATCTTACTTTGTTTTTCGTACATTCCCTACATTTCAGAAATAAATTGGGTTTTTTTATAATCCTGGGGAACTGAAATATTTTCCAAAAAATGCTGATTTGGGCTAGAAGCAGTTATTCTTCTTTTTATTGGACCTTGTTTGACACATTTTTTGCCATATTGGATATCTTCAATTTGAAGAAAATATCGAATAACCACTAACGCCATACCACGTGCTGCATTCTGATTACTGACTGAAATACTAAATGCCAGATTTAGGGACAACTTTTCCCTCCTATTTTTTATTCCACTGAACCAAACATTTTTTATTTACTTTGTTTATAAATTTTCTGGATATTTTCGGTTAAAAAATACTAGCCTTTCCTGGATCTAAAATGAACTGCGTTGCCAAACTATGCTCCTAAACAAAAGTCTTACTTAATACTGATAAATTGTGTTAATTTTTTAATAGTTCCTGTATTTGACAAGGTCTTGATGAATTAAATTTAAAAATAATATTTGAAAAAGTTTTTGATTTATGGCAAATTTTTAATTTTTGAATCAACACTTTTACCACCCTGTTTCTTGGTAACTAAACCCTATATGTTCCAAAATCAAAATTAATCAATTAATGAGAGCTCACTGGGATAGAACGCTGTCGAATGTATATTTCTTTTAATTTTTTTTTGAAGCGGTACATACTGAAAGAGGACTGTAATAATGACTTTAAATAATAATTATCATGTTTTCGATTCTTAACTTTTTTATAATCAATTAATTGTTTTATTTATCTAATATTATTTGATCAAGTATTTCTTCAACATAAATGAAACATTTATTTATGTACTTATGTCTAACATTTTCAGATTATCCTTGCGTTAGCTATAGCAGCGGGAGTTACCTCTGCTGCACCTCCTTCAGCTGAACAATCCAAAGAACAAATCCCCATAGTCAAATACGAAAATGAAGGAGTAAATCATGATGGTTCATATAACTGGAAGTAAGCCTCTACAACTAAATTTTTGTCCTTTCTTTAGCAGTTTCTTTTAAACGCATTTAAAATAATTTTCTTTTTTCAGTTATGAAACAGGTAACAACATTATAGCCCAAGAACAAGGTGAATTTAAACAGGGCGCTAACCCTGATGAAAAAGAAATGGAAGTCCGTGGTTCCTACGAATATACAGACCCCGATGGAAAGAAAGTAGTAGTTACCTATATCGCTAACAAAGATGGATTCCAACCACAGGGTGACATCTTGCCCACTCCTCCTCCAATCCCACCAGCGATCCAGAAACTTCTCGAATGGTTGGAGGCTCATCCTGAAGAAAACCAAACTGAAGAGAATAAAGTTCGATAGGTTCAGATAATTTTGTAATATGGCAATTTTTGTAAATATTATGTAAATAAATAAAATACCTCCTTTTTTATATTTTGGAATTTCAATAAAAGTACGAAAGAAATAAAAAAGAAAAAAAAAAAAAATAAAAATAAGTACATGAAATAGTCACCTTCGGTGACAAAGAATATATTAAAAATAATTATGAAGAAAAGTCATATTAAATACAATAATACAGATTTAATCCATATAAAGGTCAAAATCCTATGCCTTTCTGTAGACGGTGTCAACTGTATATACACAGATAATGATTCTGCGCAAGAGCATCAAAATGCACCGGAAAAATATACTAACCAAAGAGTGCACTAAATTGATACATAAAAGAAAGAAAACTACTACTAGGCTAAAACATCTCGCGAACTAGACTGATAATTATATACCTGTTCGGCTTAAATTTTTTATGGGTATAGGCCAAAACTATAAAGAACAATAGAGAGAAAAATAAGCGGGAGGAAACAAAATAGGGCATTGGCAATCCTACTATTCTTCGTGACGCTGACGGATTTCATCCGTAACTCCGACTGTGAACTAGTGATGGACATAATCGAATGATCGTTATAATCGAATACTTGGATGATTGAAAATTGAATTTATCGAGTATTCGAATCATATCATTCGAATGATTTATTATTTGCCGTCATCAATGGTTTACTGCATTCTGATTGGGTAGCCCCAGATCAAAGTGTCAAAAGTAAATACATCGACAGTTAACTATCCAATCAGAATGTAGTATACATATTTAAAAACGTCGTACGTTATTATTTACTTTTATTTATCATGCAACCGTTTTGGCTTACGGCGCGATGTACTGATTGTAGTGATTGGTTGTTTCCCCGACTTGACAGATTAAAAAACGTTGCATGTATATCCTATTTAAGAAAACTAAGTAATTTTGGCAGCCTACTCTACTCCATATTTCAACAAGTCACCTGGGGACCTATTTTCAAACTCGAAATGATTTATCTCAAGATTTTTATGAGAAATGTCATATTCGAGCGTGAAAACAGTGTTTTGAAAATAAAATTCTTAGGAATTCTTAGGAGAATTTCAATTCTTCCGAAAAACCAAGAGAAACAGTTATTTTAAAAATACTCTTTCCACGTTGAGGTATATGACATTACTCATGAAAATCTTGAGAGAAATAAGTACTCCAATAAATTTAAAATTGTTTCCCCAGAAGTCACTATCGTTCGTTCATTACAATTTCAGACATTTCAAATGATTCGAATGATCTTGGTATATTTGAATGATGCCAAAAATCGAATATACGAATGATTTACCATTCGAATGACCACATCAATACTGTGAACCAAAAACCAAATAAAATCATTTTAGTCTAGACCAGGGATTCCAAACATTTTTTGTGTTGTGCCTCCCTAGATTATAAAAATATATTCATGCCCCCTTATAATTTTTTTTATTGTTATAATAAAAAACACATCACTTTCACTACATTTATTCCTCAATAATAAGTACAATCAAATAAATTAAAACTTTGGTGTTCACTCCTAAAAATAATTACGTATTTTTCATTAAAAATTAAATAATAAAATTATTGTGTTAATGCGATATTTGCGCCTCCATGTTCTGAACCAGTTGGTTGATGTCGACTGTAGTTTTTTCCAGGGCAATCGTTAAGTCGTTATGGACGGCAAGACGATTTCCGTGCTTAGTTTTGACTTGAACCAATGCTGAAAAACCTTTTTCACATGAGTAAGTCGAAGAAAACGGAACAATTATTTGCAAAGCATGAGAATCAACTTTTGGATTAAGGAGGAAACGTTTTATTCAAAACTTCTCCAATGTCAAGAGGTGGAAGTCATCTTTCATGGTAGAATCAGCCTTCATTTCTAGAAATTCTTCCTGAATATCTTCTGGTAATTGTAAGACATCGACCACAAATGGATTTCTAGTCATATGCCGCATTGGTGATTCTGAATCAATGTCGCTATAATATCGTTGAAATTCGTGTTTTAACGCTTTCAAATGAGCTGCTATATCCGTTTTAACGTCTTTGTCCAGTCTTTGATTTTTAATTGTTCCCTGTAGTCAAGGAAAACATATTACATTTCCAGAAATTACTTTTTGGGACCAAAGTTGAAGCCTTGATATAAAGCAATGAATATAATCGTATTTACTAATCATAGTTTTGTTTTTTCCCTGAAGCTTCAAATTTAATTGATTCAAGGCTTCAAATACACCACTCAAATAGGCCAATCTCCATTGAAATTTTTCATCTTTGAACAGTGGCGGCTCGTGGTAATTTGAATTGGGTGTTCACTTTTTCCAATAATTTGATCATTTTTGTAAGTTCGGCCCAAAACTTTGTAAAAGAGCCAATATTGCTGTTTTTATTATTATTTGAGTTTGTATTAAATGTAGTTATTATCAACATCATACTATTTTCAAGCACTATAACTATTAATAAATGAAAATTTTAGTTAGTGTGATATTTGTTTTGTTTTTAATTCATTGAAATATAAACCTATAAACATTATTAGTTAACTGACTTTTCTTCATAATTTGAGATTATTTTTAAATATATATAAGGTTATGTAGAAAGCTTGACATTGATTTTTGTGTAAAAAATATTATATGAAACTTTATCTACCATTTTTCAGTTTTTATTGTAAATTTAATCATTTTCACATTTTGTCACACATGTCAAATAAAAAATATATTTTTTAAATACCTTTTAAAATAATAACTTTTAAATAAAATAAAAACTAAAATGTTTTAAATGTTTATTTTATGAGATCAGTCCCATCACAATACATACTATTACACAAATACAAACTAGAATAAAGATATATAATGCCAGGCATTCTAAATGATACTTTTCGCAGTTTAACAGACTCCCTTAACTACCCATTTTCTACCAGATTGTTTTCACAATCAATACCTCATCTCCTTATAGGGCTTGATTTTTACTAAAAATGTTGATATCGCTTTTCATTTTTGATTTTTTGTTTTTAATTTTAATTTCAACCCCCCTTAAATCCCCCATATTTAATTAGATTTTTTTAATTAAAGGTAGTGGTGGCTCGTTATAATTTAAAATATTAATTCCTCGATTAATACAGTGTAAGAAAGAAACATCAAGTTTAAATTATATATAAACCAGGGTAGGATTCTTTTTCTTTAGCTTTTGAGCTAAGCCAGATCTTACACCTATCATAGCGTCCAATGAGCTTATTCCAATTAAAATAATTTTTTTTTATAAAGTCAGATATTGAATTAAATATATCGTTAGATGTATTACCAGCTGTCAAAGATTGTGAGTACAAAATCTCTTCTTCAATTTGATCTTTGTCGACGTAACGAACATAAACGATTAATTGTGCACAGTTAACGATGTCTGTAGATTCATCGCAACTTATAGCAAAAAATGGTGACAACTTTACTGTGTTTATAATTTTTAATTTTGTCTGCCGCTATAATATCATCGATTCTACGTTTAATTGTGTTGTTTGAAAGAGAAACTGACTTCATTTTTTGTTCTGATTCTTCTCCTAGCATTATTTGTGTGGCTTTTAATATACATGGCTTGATCAACTCTTCACCAATGGTGTGAGGTGAGGTTTTTTGATTCGCTATTAAAAAAGCTATTTCATAGGAAGCTTTGAAATGTTGTGACACATTTTTGTGATAACTTCCTGACTTGATCCAATCTTATGCGTTTTAGTGTTTCTAATTTGAAAGAAAAGAACTCTTTTGACTTCGTTATCATAGTTGGATATTGTTGGTTTAAAACTTTTAGGCATATCACACACTGAGGCAATTGCATTCCGTCTTTTTCAATAAATGTAGATCCAAATTTAACGTAGTCTTCTGAAAACTTTCTTTTCTTTACTGCCATTTTCTGCTAATTATTTAATTAATTTAAATAAGGAATTTAAATATTACCCTACCTTTTAATAACAATAAAAAGTGTTGGAATTAAGAACAGTTCTTAGAAGTCCGGGAATAAACAAATTTGAAAACTAAATGGGACAATCGCGCAGGTAGAATTGTTTTCTGCGCTAGCTGTCACCTGACTCAACTTGACTGATCGGATCTCGAAATCTGTCCACAGAACACTTACTCTTAGAACGGTATCTCCCATGTTAAAAAAGGATGATAGAATTTTCAGCGGCACCTGGCGGACGTGGTTGATTTTTTTTCAATTAAGTCCTTGTCTGGTAAGAGGCCGTATGAAAGAAGAGAAAATAATAAAAAGAAGAAAAGAAAAAAAGCGCGGGGCTATTCAAATTTGACAGTAAAAATTATCCGCATTAAAAACTGTTAGCCAAATTAAGATTTGTTCACACAAACGGCATTTTTGCTTTATTATAGCGAATATCGCTATAATTTTTAGATAAAAAAACAAGCATATTCAAAAACTAAATTTATTAAAGAATATATATAATACAAATCCAATATTTAAAAAATGTAATGTATATGAAAATAGTAATATGTATGAAGTAGCTGGATGGCTGCTACATATTCCTGGATACAACACTGTCCATCATTTTGTGAAGAACTTTATCTGTGAAAAAAGAAAGACAGTATAAGTACAATTTCATCAAAATAAATGTATTAATAAAAAATTATAAGTCCGAGGAATACTTTATTTTTTAATAAGTCCAACATCTACGATACAGCTTTGCAACCCCAAACGTCATGAAACAGAAATTTCACAGTATATGCCGCGTTTGATCACGTGATTCAATTTACGCACAGAAAAAAAAAACTTGGTATATTGAGATAAGAGTTATTATCTGACGAAAAATTTATTGGATTATATGTGTATTTTTTTGGATTCAGATAAAGCAGTAGTCAAATTTACAAGGCACATTATGCAAAAGAAAATTTTTTTTCTTCTAACACAATATTTTCCAATTCAGATTAAACCTAATTTGAATTAGATTATACAACTTACTAATATTTAAAAACACACAAAACATTTGTTTGTATTTAATAATTTTAATTGTGTAGTTTAAACACATTACCTATTTATTTTTAAAACAAATATTGTTTAGTACTATATGAATTTTTGTGTAGACTTAACATAAAACTTTTTTAATTGACACACATTCTTAAATAGAATAGGTAATTATTTTGTTTAAAATAATCAAAAAACTTTTAGACGTGCATTTGTGAAATTATGTAACTTAAATAATTTTTTAAGTACATTAGCAATTTAAAAAACATAACTTATGTGTCCGAAAAAATATTTTGTTGTATTAAAACGATGTTGTTTGGAATAGATATGGTTTTTAGTTGCCCTTTATAGTGAAGGTTGTAACTTGTTTGGACGCGGCACGCGGCGACACCTAGTATAGGAACGAACATTCATTCTCTTGTTTATGTTTGTTTGTCGTTTAGTTTGGATGGTGGGTGAATAGAGTTGGTTGTTTTTTGTTTTAATTGTGTAATGTTTAGGTGCTAATAATGGAAGTAACAAAAGGATAATTGATTGAGTGGGGCCTCGAAGAAATCGTGGAAGATTTTGTGGGTAAGTAAATTCCAGTTTTATTATAATTTTACGACCAATGCAATATGTTTACAACTGTTCGATGAATGTAAAATTTATTAATTCTAACTTTGGTAAAATTAGGCTATCTTAAGCGGTTTTTTAAAACAAATATGGTGTGTTTGGTTAGATATTTGAAATGCCGGCCTTTTTTCCCGTTTTATAGCAACATATATCGAGGCGTGAATTTGTGGGGGTTAAATATTAAAATGGCGTTCTACACGAATTTAAATATACTGCAAACCAAATTTTTAGTAACTGTAATAATGATTAGAAATTATGAAATTAATTTTTTTTGATTTGTTTACAAGGGAGAGCAGTGTTAAATTTAAAATTGTTTATTTAACTTCACTTGTGAGGGGTGTTCGAATACACCTTAACACGCTGAAACAGAAAGATAAGGTTTCTGTTATTCTTTAAAAAAAAATTGTTTGCAATCGACTCCATGTTTTATTAAAGTTTGACTGCACCCGAAGATGGAAAAGGTTTCCGAAACATATGTAGTGCTGTATTAAATGATAAAAAATAAAAACGACCGAATAAACCAAGGACATTTTTATTTATGTTTAATAAAATGGTGTGGTTTTGAACATTTGAGAGTTTTACTTTTGCCAGTTTTGTTAAAATTTGGCACTATTGTTTATAGTGATAATAGTCCACGTACTTCCATTGACATTTTTCCATGTTTTGTGATTATTCAACTAAATATACAGCTTTGCAGTTTTTAAGAAACCTATATTCATTTCCCGACCTATGTTCATATAAGAAATATTCATGTTTTCTTAGATAAAATCACTCCTGAAATTATTCAAATTGAATTTACGGATACCCTGTATAATAACGTAGTAAATTATTTTTAGGTGGACATTGATATTAACATATTCTTCCCTGATCATGGAATTAATTTATTAAATTCTTGACATATTTTCTAAAGACAACGCAATTAAAGAACTACTAGATGATTTGACAGCTGCTATTTCTTCAGGTAATATAATATTACCTACATGGGAAAATCCGAGATTTACCAATTTTATTTATTGTTTTAGATACCAGGGCTAACATTGTTATGCTATTACATTACATTTTGCCAACAATAAGTATCCGAAACGGAAAATCAGCAGGGCGGTGGAGGCCTTCTCGCCTAGAAGTTGCTGAAAGATTTTGGTTACGACTATAAGTAAGTAATTTAGTTCTGTTTTAGACCTTCTTATATTTAGAATATTGAAATATGACCAGGCCGAGCCATAGATTTTGGTATAATAATATAAATTTATATCTAAGAGGTGCAGTTGTCTTACATTTGATTTATTATATGTTTTTTTTTTAGAATATATCAGAACTAACTCAAGCTGTCAATAATAAACTAGAAAAATTACAGAAACTTGGACTTTGCGTTCAACCATTGGTAATCGTCGTGGGGCCCTCAAATACCGAAATTTAAAATGTATCTGTTGATAGATGATAGATCAACATATGTTTCCTATGCCATCTTGTCTAAAAGCCCTAGACATATGTTTTAAAAGTTTTCATACTCTGCATGCGGAATACGACAGGGAAAAGGAACAGATATGGACTTTTATTCAACAAGGTACATATAAACTACATACCAAATGGGACAAATCTTTCACTGGTGTTAATTTATTATTGGCGGACTTAAAACTGTAAACGTTAAGTATACTTACCTGTCTTTTTAGAAATGAAGAATTTTTCTTTATTTAGGAGTATTGTTTTGCTTCTAGTAATTTAGAGTTGTTTATTTTTGAGTTTTAAGTTAATGTTTTATTTATTTTTAATTACTTATAAGACTGAATATGCCAGTTTGTTATTTGTGTTCGTAAGATTTTGACATATATGGTTTTGTTTTTTTCATTTTAAAATAGTCCATAAGCTGAGAACTGATAGTACTTACAGATGTAAGTAAAGACTATGTAGACGAGATTTTCAAACTATTAACTCTTTTAAATAACATTTAAAAAATAAACACAGGGCATGTCAAAATGGATGTAATATTTTTACCTCCGACAACTATAGTGATAATATAAGCTCAAACTGTTTTAACCTTAGTTAGTTCCTGTTCGAAATAAAAAAATATATGTTTTTTACATAATATTGTTTCAATTATATTACCTTTGAATTTTCATTTAAGATATATCCCAAAAATGTCAGTTTTCATGAACCAAAACGATATTTCTTTACATTTACTAAAGTAAAAATTTAAAATCGGATACTATACGGGGTATCCCATAAAAAGGCACCGTTTTCGATAAAAATTAGATTAGATCTTGGGGTACATCCAAATAACTATTCTTATACATACTAATAATTTTTGTAAATAAATAATAAATAATTAGTTTCTCTGAGAATAGTTATTTGGATGCACCCCAAGTTCTAATTTCTCTATCGAAATAACACATGAATTCCATTGCCGCCAAAAAATCGCACATTGAAAAATTAGGCCTAAATTTTACTTAAAGCCCCTCAACCTAACTCGTCCCTGGTATGATTTGATTAACAATAAGACACATTTCAGTAGGCCTATATATAAGTCAATAATTGTACCTAATTTCAAAACTATATCTGTTAATGTTTATAAACTACTTGCAAAAAAACACCTCTAGAAATTTACATTTGATCTCAGAAATACATCTATTCGCGACTCATGTTCATACGAAGTTTTTTTACTTATTTTTGACAATAGAATACGCCGTTAATTTTTTTTTGCACTATTTATGGGACACCCTGTATATGGGCCAGACAATACCCATATAATTGTATTTCATTTACATGTAAGTATATTAAATATCAAATCAAATAAACAAGTTAAAGAGAGGGGGGGACATTTATAAGTAATAATTTTGTATCTACATAAGAACTTTGTCTAAGCATGCAATTGTACTTATCTACCCTAGCAAATTCCTTTTTTCGTGGTTTAGTAAAATACTTGTCTAATGTAGGTAGTAAATAAGTCCCCTCACACTAGGCTATTATATATGCCAGCACATTTATTTTCTATTTAACAAAATAAAAATATTTAGTACAACACACGATTTTGCTAAATTAGTACTTTTTCTATGCAGCTTAGTGAATTGTCTCACAATTTTTTAATAAAACCCTTTTTTGTCACACAATCGTATGTTTTCAACTACCAAATTTTCTTTTCTAGAGTATATAATATTTTATTTGAAAGAACTACAAATTCTTTTTAAGGGCAAACATGTTTATCAATTCGTAATAATTAATATTTTATAAATTAGATAATATGACTATTTATATTAGGTAAAGCAATTTTAGTTAAAACATTTGGATAAGGTGGATAAGGTTTTATCTGTCCCTATAGTGCTTAA